CAGGGGACTGCCCTGGTTGATCTCCGTCGGTTTGCTTATGCGTCTGTGAGTCGACTGCGGCAGCTTAGCTGGGGCAGTTCTCTTACATATGTCTCACCCTCCTCCTGGATCCAACGGACTTGGGCAGGCGTGTACCTTCTCAAGAATGTGGCAAAACAGCAAGAGCACAGGCCCCACTGTGTATAAGTGCCTTTTCACACCTCTGCTTGTACCGTGTCTGCTAACAATTCTTTTGGCCGAAGAAAGTCACATTGCTGAACTCAGAATCAGCAATGTACACCACACTGCTTTGAAGTGAAAAGGCACATAGCAAAGAAGACAGGTAGCGACAGGTCAAGAATTGGGGCAGCAATCCAATCTACTGCCTCTACAAAACAAAATATTTTCTTGTAACATATATAACCTGCCTATCTCATTATATGTTTTCAATAACTACATCTGCTCCCATTTTCAACAAATGTTGGATTATTGACTCTGATTTTAAGGGTAAAAATAAATTGGTTCCAGGCATTTGAAGCTATCCTTGCTTATTATGAAGATTGGCATATTATATAAGAGAGTAATAATTAACAGTTTGGGTTAGGCACCTTCACACACAGACAGTGGCAATGTAAATAGATACAATCTTTTTGGAAAGTAACTTGACAATATATATCAAAAGCCTTAAAAATGTGTACCCTTTGACTCAGAAATTTTCATTATGGCAAGTCTACCCTAAGAAAATAGGAGATATATAGACAAATATTTATGTGTAAGGATGTTCACTGAAGCAATATTTAGAGTAACAAAAAAAAAGGAGGATAACGCCAGATTAATTTGTTGCAGGGAAAAAAAAAAACCCTCTCATTGAAAACAGCTAAAAAGGCTGGACTAAAACAAATCTGTTTGGGGACTGGAGAGTTACCAAGACAGTCACAGTCTGAGGATCTGAGATTAGAGATATATGGAAAAGTAGTTAAGGTGAGTCTGACATTCTTTGCTGTTTTCCCCTCAAAGCCTATGTGGGTTCTTGGATGGTACAGCCAAAGAGACTAAGCAACAAAGAAACGCTTTTAAGTGACACCGAATCTGAGCAAAGATGTCAGCAGTCTGAGGAGGGTCTGAGGAGGCAAAAATTAGAGTTCCAAGCTTTTAAGACAGCTATGGCTTGAGAGGCTAAGATCCTGTCAGTGGTACAGAAAAATGACGTGTTTATTATCTCAAGGCATTCACCAGTTCACAAACAGTGCAGGCTGAGAGAAACAAAGCAGAAAGTGGCAGCCAACAGAAGTTTTGTGGCCTCAGAAGGATGGGAGATAAAAATCAGTTTTGAAGTCCTGACAAGAAAGACTCCTGGGACTTCCCTGGCGGTCCAGTAGTTAGAACTCCACGCTTCCACGGCAGGGGGCGCAGGTTCAATCCCTGATTGGGGAACTAAGATCCCGCAAGCCGCGTGGCCAAAAAAAAAAAACGGAGAGAGAGGGAGACAGACTCTGGTAAGCACCTCATGCTTTCAAATGGAACTCCTAAAGGCCTGCAACCCTAGGAATAAAAGTGAACTAAAAGTAAACCAGGGCTTCCCTGGTGGCCCAGTGGTTAAGAATCCACCTGCCTATGCAGGGGACACATGTTCGATCTCTGGTCTGGGAAGATCCCACATGCCGTGAAGCAGCTAAGCCTGTGCGCCACAACTACTGAGCCTGCGCTCTAGACCTCACGAGCCACAGCTACTGAGCCCGCATGACACAACTACTGAAGCCCGCGTGCCTAGAGCCCGTGCTCCACAACAAGAGAAGCCAACGCAATGAAGAGTAACCACTGCTCGTAGCAACTAGAGAAAGCCCGCATGCAGCAACAAAGACCCAACACAGCCAAAAATAAATACATAATTTTTAAAGTTATTAAAAAAAAAAAGTAAACCAAATCTTATAAAGACTGATAGCCAATCCATTCTGTGATTGGATTAAAACGATCTATCCTAATTCTACTTGCCTGCCATAAGCTAAAGGCTCATATAGAGCTTCTGCAATATTTTATACACAGTGTCTGACATTCATCCAAAATTCCCAGGATATCAAGAGACAGTGGAAGGAAAAAAAAATCAGACAATATAAATAGATCCAGAGGTAGGCAAGAATATACAATGGAAAAAAGGGAAAAAGAAAAAAACAGTCTCTTCAGCAAGTAGTGTTGGAAAAGTTGGACAGCTGCATGTAAATCAACGAAGCTGGAACACACCCTCACACCATACACAAAAATAAACTCCAAATGGCTTAAATATAAGACATGACACCATAAAACTCCTAGAAGAGAACATAGGCAAAATATTCTCTAACATAAATTGTACCAATATTTTCTTAGGTCAGTCTCCCAAGCCAAAAGAAATAAAAGCAAAACTAAACAAATGGAAACTAATCAAACTTACAAGCTTTTGTACAGCAAAGGAAATCATAAACAAAATGAAAAGACAACCTGTAGACTGGGAGAAAATATTTGCAAATGATGCAACCAACAAGGGCTTAATTTCCAAAATACACAAATAGCTCATACAACTCAACAACAACAGCAACAAAAACAACCCAATCAAAAAATGGGCAGAAGACCTAAATAGACACTTCTCCAAAGAAGACATACAGATGGCCAACAGGCACATGAAAAGATGCTCAACATCACTAATTATTAGAGAAATGCAAATAAAAACTACAGTGTGGTACCACCTCACACTGGTCAGAATGGCCAGCCTTAAAAAGTCTACAATAACAAATGCTGGAGAGGGTGGGGAGAAAAGGGAACCCTCCTACACTGTTGGTGGGAATGTAAATTGGTGCAGCCACTATGGAGAATGGTACGGAGCTTCCTCAAAAAACTAAAAATAGAGTTGCCATATGATCCAGCAATTCCGCTCCTGGACATATATCCAGACAAAACTATACTTAAAAAAATACATGCACTGTTATGTTCATAGCAGCATGATTTACAATAGCCAAGACATGGAAACAACCCAAGTGCCCATCAATAGGAGATTTGGTTTAAGAAGATGTGGTATACATGTGCAATGGAATATTACTCAGCCATAAAAAAGAATGAAATATTGGGACTTCCCTGGTGGTCCAGTGGGTAAGACTCCATGCTCCCAATGCAGGGGGCCTGGGTTCAATCCCTGGTTGAGGAACTAGATCCCACATTCATGCCACAACTAAGAGTTTGCATGCTGCAACTAAGAAGTCCACATGCCACAACTAAGACCTGGTGCAGCCTAAATAAATAAATAAATAAATAAATATTTTTTTAAAAGAATGAAATATTGCCATTTGCAGCAACATGGATGGACCTAGAGAATATTATGCTTAGTGAAGTAAGCCAGAGAAAGAAAGACAAATATTATATATCACTTATATGTGGGATCTAAGAAATAATACAAATGAATCTATATACAAAACAGAAACAGACTTGCAGACACAGTAAACAAACTTACGGTTACCAAAGGGAAACAGGGATGGGGAGGGATAAATTAAGAGTTTGGGATTAACAGATACAAACTATTATACATAAAACTCATAAGCAACAAGGATTTACTGTATAACACAGGGAACAATATTCAATATCCTGTATAACCTATAATGGAAAATAATCTGAAACTATAGATATATAACTGAATCACTTTGCTGTATTCCTGAAATTAACACGATATTGTAAATCAACTATACTTCAATAAAAAATGAAAATTAAAAATAGGTTTCCCTATCAGATGAATTAAAAACAAAAAGTTTGAGAATAGCAAGTGTTGACGAGGTATAGGGAAAACAGTAAGTCCCCTACCCTCTGTGTATGAGGGCAAACTGACACCACCATTTTGGAGGGGATTCGGCAGTCTCTCTGAACATAAAGAATGCCCGTATACTTTGATGCAGAAACCCACCCATAGAAACCTAGCTAGCAGAAACACTTGCACACCATGCAAAGATGCTCATGGCAGCACTGTCCAGAATTGGTGAAAAGTCTGAACCACCTAAATGTTCATCATAATGAGAACAGCTAAATGAAATATGACACGTCCCTGCCTGGGAGTTCCACGCAGTCATGAATAAGAATTGGGTCAACCCAGCTGGCAGATAAGGAACATAGTAAATATAGTAAAGTACAAATAGTGAGTTGACAAACAAAGATATCCTACTTTATTGTATTTTCATTTGCATGCAGTGTGAGTGTGACTAAAATGCGTATCACATCTCTAGGGGGTTTCTGGAACTCTCACTTTTTATCTTACATGCTTCTATTATTTATGAATCTGTTTTTAGTGAGCATGTATTACTTTCATAATTCTTAAACCAAAAACGTAAGTGAATAAGGATTGAACATCTAAAGCCTATAAAGACAAAATGCTTAGTGTTTCATTTCTTGGACCTGAGTTCACTTTCAGCCAGAGCAGTTCTGGGCCACAAGTACAACTCTGTGAAGATCCTTTATCAGGCTCATCTCATGTATGCATGTGGGCATACACACATACCACACGTGCACAACTACCTACACACCTCTACACATGCACACACACACACAGGGTTGTCCAGCTCCGCATGTGCATGTGGAACGCACGACTTTACAGTACCTGGGGCAGTTCATAGAACATTCTTGTGTATTTATTGGTGCAAGGGAGTAAATAGCCAGGGCTGAGCAGGCAGAAAAGAACGTGATGAGACTGAAAACCCAACACCCACCACCTCCTCCACCATCCAGATGACACGTCCTGTGGAATCCATGGTGCCCTCCTGATTTCTGGCTTTTCCCTTTTGTCTTCAAGACGGGTAAACCCAAGAAAATGTGGCCGTGAGGATGGGCACTTATCCACTCAGGTCATGTCATGAGATGCCCCCGCTTCTTCCCCCCGCAGTGAGGTGAGAGTCCCGCCCAGACCGTGGGGGGCTTACGGGCCCTCGTCCCTGAAGAGTGTCAGGTTGTGCATCTGGATGTGGCTCAGCAGGACCTGTCCTCGCCGCTCCAGGGTCTGGAGGACCTGCCGTAGGCCCTGTTGCCCGCCTTGGCTTTCCCAGAACACCGGGTCTGTCTGCAGTGACTTGAGCAGCATATTCTGTAGACACCCTGATGCGAGAACCTTCACGACAGACTCAGGAAACCTGGAGGAAGGTCCCCCAGTCCCATAACAGAAAGGAAGAGCAAAAGCCATCTCAGAGAGTTTCCGTGAAAGGCCAGGCCAGTCGGCCAGAACTTGCACAGCTGGGGGCCCGCAAAGCCAGCCCGAAAAGTCTCCAGGGCCACCTGCTGACTAGTTATCCAGGAACCCTTCCACCCGCTCTGCTGTGACAGCAGGCAGGGGATAGAGCTTTCGATGGGTCCCACCTCCCTGAGTGGGTGAATCCGCTCTGCTGGCCCGGGTGAAGTGAGGAGGAGCCCTAGGAAGGCCCAGCCGCTGCAGGTGTGAGCAGGGAAGGTGTCTCCCAGGCTAGCTCCCTGCCAGGGAAGGGCCAGCCTGCCCACTCCCCAGCAGGGCAGCCCATGTTGTGCAGGGCCAGGAGGCCCTCCGGATACTGGGGAGGGGGCAGCCCATCATGGACTTGAAGGGCCTGCTGGCTGTATCCCCTCAGCTTTCCCAGGACTCCTCACCCCCTTCTGAGGCTCATCCAGCAGCTTTTGTCTGAGGGAATGTGGGCTTCTCTGGAGCCACAGTTCAAGGTCTACAGCAGGGCCATCAAGCCTCAGCCCCTGAACCTCCACCCAACCGCTCTGACCCTCACCCGTCGATGCCCTCCAGCAGCCGGAAATTCAGCTTGTGCTCCGGGTGCTGAAGGTTGCCGGCGTTATCGATGTAGACCAGATGAGAGAGATCACTGCTCCGGACCTCAGGCAAGAACATGGACAGAGACAGAGGAGAGTCAGGGAGCAGCCTAGCCAGTGCCCCTGGACTGTGTCGGGGCTCAGCAGCTTGGGGGGCCCTGAGCTGTCAGTCCCACCACCCAGCCCGCTACTCGCCCAGACGCTCCCCTCGCACTGTGCAGTGAGCTCACTCCATGCCGCTGCCGTGCTTAGGACATCCAGGCACCCTCTCAGTGAACCCTCCCAGCAACCTTGGGAGGTGGCCACTGATATTAGCCTCATTTTACAGACACAGAGGCACAAAGAAGTAATTTGCATAAGGTCACACAGCTAATCAGTAGCTGGCTGGTTCAAACCTGGACCCGTAGCCAAAAGCCACAGCACCTTCTGCAAAATTGCAAGGCAGAGGGACTGATTCCTGTTCTGGTGGCCGAAGGGCTGAGGAGCACGGGTGGAAATGGGAAGGGGCAGAGGTAGTCCACCCAGGGGCTGAGGCTGCGGGATGTACCGTACATGTGCACCCTCACACACGTATGCCCGCCCACGTGAGCCCTGTGCCCCTGTCCCAGGCGTTCCCCTGAGCATCACCGAGGACACAAGACACCCGCCATCCTCAGATAGCACTGCCCATCCTCTGTCCCCACAGTTTTAGGGCCTCTGAAAACTCTTCAAAACTGAAATCAGGGCTTCCCTAGTGGCGCAGTGGTTGGGAGTCCGCCTGCCGATGCAGGGGACATGGGTTCGTGTCCTGGTCCGGGAAGATCCCACATGCCGCGGAGCGGCTGGGCCCGTGAGCCATGGCCACTGAGCCTGTGCGTCCGGAGCCTGTGCTCCGCAACGGGAGAGCCCACAGCAGTGACAGGCCTGCGTACTGCAAAAAACAAAACAAAACAAAACAAAAAAAACAAAAAACCAACAAAAAAAAACACTGAAATCAGCAGCAGGGAATTCTTTAGCACCTTAAAACTCTGGTATGGTGGGAACAGGAGGCCATCTCTTCTGGCTCCCACCCCCATGCACACACTCCATTCCTACACATTTGCCAAGATTCCCTGGTAGTTTCCCATAATTCTCTTCAGCAACCTGGGCTTAAACTATGAACTTTTGTCTTCAGGACCTCAGCTTCCCCTCTCTCTGCTTCTTCTACCTCTCACCCCGCTGCACACACCAGGAATCATCTATTTCTCGAAACCCAATGACTCCTCCCTCCAAAAACTGATATCGGGAAGGATCTGTGAGACAGCTGCCCACCAGGGGTAAAGGATGGATATAAAAGCCCTCCCTCTCCCAGGAATATTTGCTTTTTACTGGGGAAGGAGAGAGGTGGCTCTGGGGCAGGGGAGGGAGAGTTCCTACAGCCCAGCAGCACCACGACGCAGCCCTGGCCTGCGGGCTGGTGGGGCTGCCTGACGCTCGGCCCAGGGCAGCATCTGTCGGCTACCGTCCAAAGCAGCTGGCCAAGGTGAGGCGGTGAGGACACCAGCCTCACTGGGGGAAGACAGAGCAGCCCCTCCCCGGGGTGGCGCTTTGCTCCTCGCGCAGGAGAAGCGGCTGTTCTGCCCCACCAGCCTCTCACCGATGGCCTCGGCACACGGCTTCCCACCCTGGGCTGTAGCTTTCACAGGACGCAGCACAGCGCTCCTCCAACAGCCCCAGCCTGTGAGCCATCAGAGGCCAGGAGAGTGCCCTGTCACTGCCACCAACCAGACATGCAGCTTGGGAAACCCCCTTCCCCGCTCCAGGCCCCAATTTCCATATTTACTGGCTCATTGAGGACATCCTACTAGACACACAGTTATCACACTCTGCTTCCTGGAGACTTAGGGCGTCCCCGGAGTCTTCAGGGCTCAGAGGAGTTAGTGACAACAGCTCCAGCCCACACCCCATACCTACCTAAACCACATCCTCAGAGTTCCGCCTGTGTCAGTTCTATATATTAAGGCTTCCTGAAAACATTTAAAGGGTTCTGCTGCTGAAAAGAACAGGATTGGGACACCCCAAGGTCACGTGATCTCTGACACTTGCCAACAGCATCTGCTGATGGAGACAGGAAGACCTGAGTCTGGGGCGACCTGGGGACATACCAAGATGTGGACCAGCCGCAGCTCCCCCGGGTTCCGGCATTTCTCTCGGAGCCTCTCTTCCACACAGGGGTCCGAGGGCTCGGGCTCGAAGCCGCAGCAATAGCGATCCAGGCGGTCATGGACCTGCGGGGACACCGTCCTCTGAGGGCCCAGCACTCGGGCCGCCGGAGCCCTGGGGCCACACGCTGGGGGCCATCCTCAGGGATCTTGGCGCTGGTCAGCTCTGCTGCTGGCCTCCGGCTGTGATGGGGCTTCTGCTTGCTCCTCAGCCAGCCTGCCCTGCACCAGGACTGCTTGCTCACACTGCGTGGATTTCCACCCAACATTCACTGCTTAATCTCTGCCACTGGCCCTGAGCTCCAGCCTGGGGCTGACTGTCTGGTCTGCCTGGGGAGACCCACACATGACCACTTTCTCTTTAATCAGCAAATGCTACATCAGGGATTCCTCCCTTTACAGAGATAAAAATCTTTTAATGACCATCCAGGCAGCTCCTGCCTTAGGACAGTGCTTTCACCCTGCAGGAGGCCTGAATCAAAGTCAGGAAGGAGAGCATTCCTGTTCCTGGCTCCTCTTACACTGGATGCCTAAAATGGGAGCAATGACGCTCCCTCAGGGATGATCACGATGTGCTTTAATAAGAAATATGGTCTCTTCCCTGGTTCCTGGCACAGAGTTCCTAAAACCCCTGCAATTTGCTCAGTGATATGAGTGTCTTTTGTTATTCATAATAAACCCTCTGACCATATCAGAGTTTAATAAGGTGACTCAGCGGGGCCCTTAGATCACTTCAGGCTGATTGCCAGATAGACAAGTAGAGAGCAGAACTTTCAACCCTACCCTCCAACTTCTGGGAAGAGTACGAGAGCGTTATAAAAAGTCTTCAACAGTGAGATTTGGGGAGCTTCCAGGTTGGAGAACACACCCACATGCCAGGAGGGTGATGCACCCCGACTCCATGAGGACATACAGGGTTGTATACTTGGGACCCTTCCAGACCTCTCACCCCATGTACCTCTTCAACTGACTGTTCACTTACATCCTTTGTAATAAACCAGTACACAAAAGTAAAGCGTTTTCCTGAGTTCTATGAGACATTCTAGCAAATTATTAAACAGGCGGAGGGGGTCATGAGAGCCCCCAACTTATAGCCAGTTGGTCACCTGAATCAGCAGTCTTGTGGGAATGAGCCCTTCCCTTGTGGGATCCGACATTGAGTCCAGGTGGATAGTGTCAGAATCAAATTGTACACCCAGCTGGAGTTGGAGAATTGGTGGGGTCAGAAGACATCACTCAGATGACCGGCACCATTGCTGCATCTCTATCTCACCCACTCCTCACTGCAGCCTTGCAATAGAAACATTATTGTCCCCATTTACATAGGGGGACACTGACCCCAGACTTGCCCAAGGTCCTACATGTGAAAGCAGTACAGCTGGGATTTGAACCGAGGTCTGCCTGGCTTGATCCCAGTGCTCTCTGTTATCCTGCCCCGCTTCCCCGAAGGTCGGGAAGGGTGAGCCAGTTAGAGGTCAAGTGAGGTCCCCATCATTACACTAGTTAAGGCTGGAGAAGAGCTTTCAAAACTGTGAAGGAGGCTGCAGATCTGATCCAGCTTTAGCCAGCACCACCATCGTGCCTCCCTCTGCCACATGCAGCCAACCCCCTCCACAAATGGCAGAGGGGATGGGGGCGGGGTTGGGGGGACGACACAACCTATAAGCCCCAGGATGCGGCACTCATCTAAGCCGGGCCAGCCCCCTCGCAGTCCACTCGGGCCCAGCTCAGCGCTGGCCGGAAAAGGTCTCCCTCCATTTCCATCTCCCTTTGTAGGAAACTCTCACATGTTCTGAAGAAATACAAAATTGATTTCCTTCTACACAAGCCAGAAAATAACTATAGTTCTATTCACCAATCAACCTCACAAAACCGGAGTCCAGAAATGAGACAGTGTTAAACAGTCCCAGCTACTGTCCCAAACCTGGAGGACAGGCCCAGCTTGGCCGGGGGCAAACGGCCAGAGCCCTGTCCAGGCAGTGAGCCCACGAATGAGCCCCCAGCGCAGACAGTCACTGCTTTGGTCTCCCAGACTTTGGAGAACAACAATTACAAGTAACAGAAAAGCCTGGCTCAAAATGGCTTTAACTGTAGGGGAAATTAAGATCATCTACCGCAGGAAGTCTCGTGGTGGGGCAGCTGGGGGATTTAGCAGCTCCTACTGTCACGGTAAGGACTCGGGTTTCTTTCTGCTTCTCACTGTACCCGCACAATGTTAAGGACATCCCTTTGTTGTCTCAGGAAGCCTGCAGGTGGCTGTTGTGGGTATGTTTTTCCTTGTTAGGTCTAGAGAGAAGGAGATAGAGACACAGGAAGGGAGGGAGGGAGGGGCGGGGAGGCGAGCAGAGAAAAGGAAGCTATCCCCCAACAATCACGGAATAGAAGTCCTTCCTTTCAGCCTGACTGGACCATATTTGGACACAGGATCATCCCTGGTCCAGTGGCAGCCAGGGATGCACAGACCTCTGAGCCCAGGCATGGGAGGAAGGTGAATCACACCAGGGCTCTGTGTAGAAGGAACGAGAGCAATCAGCTGGGTGCACCGGAGCCCCAGTATCCTCGCTCAGGCTCGTAACACAAGTGTTGACCGGGACAGGGCTGAGGACGGAGCCCTGCGGCATATGCCCCAGAGACCTCTATTTGCCCTATTTTTGAATCCACCTGAGGCTAATATCACGCCCCCATATTTCTCCATATGGTCCTAGAACTTACCGGGTGAGGGTGGTCCTCCTCCATGAATTCACACACATGCCTTCCTCAGCAGGAGCCTTCGAGGCTGCCCACATAGAGGTTTAGAACAGAGGTCGGCAAGCTTTTTCTATGAAGGGCCAGACAGTAAATACTTTAGGCTTTGGAGGCCATATGGTCTCTGTCACGACTACCTACCTCTGCCTCTGTAGTGCATATTGTACATATTCTACCTAATATGCAAACAAATGGTCATAGCTATGTTCCAAAAAAACCTTTATTTACATACACTGACATTTTAATTTCATATAATTTTTATATGTCACAAAATATTCTTCTTTTGAGCTTTTCAACCACTTAAAAACGCTAAAACCATTCTTAGCTCATGGGCCATACAGAAACGCAGAGAGGGGAATTTGGCCTACAATCTGGGCCATGCCTGTGACCCTGGTTTGGAGCCCAGTAGATCTGGGGGTGAATCGTGGCTCCACTGTGTCCTAACTCCATGACCTAAGGAAGTTAGTTAACCCCACTACGCCTCAGTTTTCTCATCCACAAAGTGGAGCAGTGATACTCCCTCAGGACCTCACTGAGGACCACACAAGGTGATGATGTAAACAAAGCAAGGGTGGTTGTCCTGGAGGGCCCTGGAAGGGACAGGCCCAAAGGCCTGGAGGAATCTCAGGGTTCCTCCCTCCAGAAGCCCCGGCCCCACCCCACCTATAGGCCTGAGAACCAGAGTCTGAAATCAAGCAAGCCATGACAATCTAGCCACTCTCTTCTACGTGCAGGCCTGGTTTCTGGAGTGCAGACAAATCTGTGAGATGGACACCACCTACCAAGTCCTCTTTGGCTGGGAGAATAAATGCCAGTACAGTTCTAGCAAGACTGAAATACAGTAACTGCTCTGGATTTCACGTGATGCCTGATGCACAGCCAGCCAAACCCCCTTTCTCCTGCCAAACACTCCCTGACCCTGTGCAGATTTCAACTCGCTGCAGTGTTGCAAGTTGAAATGCTGGAAGCTACAAGGAATAACAGCCCATGTGATACAGGTGGCGCTGGCGTCCCCAAATCTACACCCATTTGAATGCTGAACAGGAAGGGGCTGGCCAGGTGCAGTTGCCAGTGTGATTAATTTGCCACGCTGTCTGGGAACTTTTTTCCACTGAAGAGAAATTCAGTTTAAACTGCAGTAGCCAAGCAGGACCAAGCTTAAGCTTCATTCCCAAATCGCTTCAGGATTTGATTTTTTTTTCCCCCTTTTTGAAAAAATGAGGAGTTACCAAGAAAAAATGATAATCCTTTGCAGTTTTGGTTTTCTGATGAACCTAGCAGAGTTGGATGATCGTGAAGTTTTTGTTTAATTCTAGTTAAACAGTTGTGAAGCCCTTACTCTGTGCTGGGTACCGCTCTGAGTGCTTTACCCATCACCACTCATTTAACCCCTCCCCGCAGCCAGGAGCCAGATACGGTTATTATCCCCATTTCAAAGATGAGGGAACTGAGTCACAGAGGCTAGTAACGTGCCTAGGGTCCCACAGAGCGAAAGTGGTGGCACCTAGGGACTTCCCTGGCAGTCCAGTGGTTAAGACTCGACGCTTCCAACGCAGAGGGCGCGGGATTGATCCCTGGTCAGGGAACTAAGATCCCACACGCCACGCTAAGACCCCACATGCCCGCGTGGCCAAAAAAAAAGAAAGAAAGTGGTGGCGCCTAGACTCAGACCCAGGCAAGTATGGCTCTGACCACTGAGTCAGACTGGGTGGCAGGTACACGTTTTTTGGCGCCAGAGAGTACAAGCTCCCCAATGCAAAAGAGAAGATATGGTTCAACCTGATCCCCAGCACTTGTTTTGCACAACGAGACTCAGCTGAGGTTTTTTGAGTGAAAGGATGAATGAATGAAGCGCATGGCTGGCTGACAGCAGGAAGGATCTGGGGCTGGGGTCGGGGGGTGCTTCACATGAGGACTGATCACTGAAAGCCTGCCTGTCAGGTGAGCCCTACATCCCTGCCCAGGATACCAACACCAGAAGGCTTCAGGGGGAGGCCTGGCTCTGGGGTCCCCAAACAGGACATCTGGTGGGACAAGACACTGCAGTCTGCCAAGAGGGACACCAGGCCCAGCTGTGGGGAGGGGAGGTCTGGGAGGAGCCCAGCACAGGGCACGAGGGGTGGCCCGAGTCCTCTAACCCATCCACCAGGCTCCTGGGCCAAGACGCGTTCCTCAGCCAGTGCCTGATCTGAGTCTGGTGGATTCCAGAAGAACTGCCTGCTGTCCCTGGTGGCCCTGCCCCCTATGCAGGACCTTCCCCTCACCTGGGGACAGTCACAGGCCCAGGTTCTTCTGGATGGGAAGGGTGGCTCTTGGCCGGG